TTAAGAAAGGGCTTGTGTCGCTAAAGTTTCGTCGGAACGAAGTTACGGAAAATTAACTAACGAACGGAGACGTAACAGTATATTTATACGCGTGGCTACAAGAAGATAAAGTAAAAGTTTTATCAGACAACTTAGTCGTTGTTTTTTAACTAAACATTTAACGTGGCGTTATTCCATACTCAAATAGAATTTTGAGGTAATATTCTGATTAAGACATGAGTTGGCAGAACAAAAATTCAAACTAAAAATTTTAACAGTTGGCTAAAGCATAATTTAGGAATATAGTTAGTAGGCGTACTGGAAGTTGAGGGTCCGCCGGTCCGTTCAGAAGACTTTCTAAAAGTATGTTAAAAAAATCGTGCAGTATTTGCCATACAGGTAAGTTTTACATTTTTTAAGCCATCCCATATGTAAGCGCTGTTTTATTTAGAACTGCTTGTCAGCGTAAAAATTTACGTTCACGAAAAGAAAGTTCGTAGTTAGATATGTAAGACTGACGCAACTTTGTGGATCTAATATATACAGCACATCCATATAAGGAAAACGACCCTGAGACTAAGGGCTCCTACTATTCTGCACGTGCTGTATATTCTTTGTTTTGATATATCGATTCCACATGTGTCTAAAAGCAAAAGGACTGATACTAACAACATCATTGCTACCAGATGGCGTCAGGAATTTGGCCATTCAAGACCTTCAGAAGTTGATCACATATTTAATAATATATGAAAGTTTAACAGTGGTTCAAATATTTGAAAATGTCTTCTTAAATGAGCGACGTTAAGGTTATTTTAGCAAAAAATGCTAAGAAGAAAAAACATTGTATTGTATTATTGAAATATATTTCTAATTAAATTTGACAAGATGTATACATTTACTAGTTATAACTTTTTACTGCTGAGGGCAGAACTGATAACATGAAATTAGAAAAAATATAAAAAGCTCTATAAATTATTCAGTATCTTTTTATGATACCTTGATACACATGTCAAAAAAAAATGCTTCACACACACACTTAACCCTTTTTATTCAGTTTATTAATTAGACCATAGTACCCCATCCGTCATGAAGGCATTCACCCATGACTACTTAATTGGGTACAAATAAAGTTTTTTAATTCTGTTTGCAGCTATGTTAAGAAACGTTAAAAAAATTAGCTATCTTCTGCAGCAGCTAACTACAAGCACTTGTTCATGGCATTAAACTGTAATAATGATGATGGGACTGTACCTGTTGTGCCATGCTCTGATGCACATCACTAATATTTCACATGTTTTTGTTTTGATGAAAAGAAAAATAATTTTTTGTTTTTGAATAACCTTAAGTACTTGATGTTTTGTTTGTTTATAAATGTTGGGTGGAATGAACTGATTTAAAGTTTACTTTAGGTTAGTTTTTAAAAATCTTAAGTGTTTTAAGTAGCTAGTTTTAAAATGACCCAAACATTTATTAAGTTCTATATATATATATATATTATTATCATGATGTACATTTCCAGCTTATTTTAACCAATTCTTTAAAAACATTTAGTTTGGAAGTATTTTTGTTTGCTGATATGTGTAAAATGTTTGTTGTCAATAAAATTAATATTTATAAGTTATAAATGATTTAATGAAGTTGGTTTGTTACAGCTCGACAAAGATGGTAATGGCTACCTTGACTTGAGCGAACTAAAGAGAGCGTTAGACATTGTTGGTTTTAAGATCCCCCAGTGGCAAGTAAGACAAATGATTGATGAACTATGCAGAAGAAATTTCAACAAAGAAAAGGGACAGTTAAGTTTTGAAGAATTTCAAAAGGTACTTGCATATGATGCAGACATGTCTCATTATTGGACTGGATAAATATTGAAGTTTTTTTTTTTTAATGTAAACTGTTTTTCAGTATAGAACTTGGTTACCTGGTATTAAGAGTGTAGGATGTACTAAAAAATAGTCTTTTTAGAATGGATTTTGGTAGTGTTCAACAAATGAATCCAGTTTTTATTATGGACTTCTGCCATTTTTTGCCTGATTTTAAGATTTCATTTTTGGCTCCATGCTGAGTAATTCATCAGGTCTGTTTTATGGAAAGAGAAGAAATAATTAGACAGTAGTGACATCCTCTTAGAGAGATCTTTATCTGTGAAAAAGTTTGATTGGTCATTGGGAAGGTTGTTGAATCTTTTCAAGTTTCTGTAAAATGTGGTTCTACACTCTGGTCTTGGTTAATTTTTTTGTCTTTATTCCAATAAGCTTCTTTAATCTTTTTACATTTCTAGCATTGAAAAATATTTAAAATAATATACCTTGTCCATTGACAAGAGTAACCTGTAGGAGTGTTCAGCTATGGCACAGTTTTTAGTTGTAGGAGCTTTGTTGTATCGGCATGTTTTCAATTTTTGGGGTTACTAGGTTGTTTACCTTTTGTCAGGATATTTTGTAGATTTTACCATATGTGAAGCAAAGTCTGAATTTCTCTTGAGTTTGTAGCTTAAACTACATACAGAAGTTAGGGAGATGGTGGTTGAAGGTTTTTCCAAGAGGGTCGTTGAGAAGGTTATAGCAATTGTTTAATGAATCTCTCAGGGTAACTAACGTGAAAGGGGTCTTATTGATGAGAGAGATTTCTTGTTTTGAACTTTGGTGTCTCAGATTTTCTCTTCTTTCATTTGGGCTATGGTGCTATCTTATCTTTACACTTTTCAGGAAATATAGACCAAATGAAGGACTCTGCATGGAGCCTGAAACGTCATCCTTAGTAAAATTAATCCACAGTTATCCTGTCTCAAGTGAATTGTCCAGAAGAAAGCAAACTAAAAATATTTGAACTTATTTCTTTTTAAGTGCCCATAGATTATTGAGTTGAATTACATTTATACCATTATTCTGAAGTGTATTGAAATATTTCTTCTGTCTTTAGTAATTGATTTGTACACCTTACGTAAAAAAAAAACACTTCAATGTATATAGATACAAAGTAACATTTTGATATCTAACTCGGACAGTAATGAAAAAGGAGGATTTTAAGATTTTATTTTTCAGAAATTTGTATTTTGTTACTTATCAATTTTCAGTTCAACCAAACTTCATGACTAGGTTACTACATGACTAGGTATGTTAAACTAAAAGCAGTTGGCAGAGAGCATAATTTCAAGATAGCACTGTCGAGATGCCTTTTTGTCTTATTGATAGGTTGTTAAAGAAACTGAGTGGCTGGTAGAGCAATTGATATTTCAAAGGCTGGAATTTCGGTAATCATATATGCATGATATGGTGGTGATTTTTGTTTTTTCACAGCAGACTAGCAATTCAGCAGTTATCTTTGTTTAATTTGATATATGCCAGGTTAATAGCTGAATATCGTGTATTATTATTATATTAGCCAATTCTTCTAGAGATTTCTGAACATCTTGCAATTACAGAACTGAAATCATAAATAATAAATTTTTTCTTAATTGCATCTAGATATAACCTCATCAAAATAAGTATGATTATCATGGATAAGTAACTGGTATTTTGAAGTAAGAGTTTTGTGCACTCTTTCATGATGATCTAACAGTGCTCCGATTCATAAAATTACCTTAGCACAGAATATTTATAGTGGTGTTCACTTCTTTAGGGGTTCACTAAGTCTTTGAATAATTTGCAGTTTTTTTTTTATGATATTTTTTTTTCCATAACTAAGATTGAAATTTTGGTTTGATCGAACATTGTAAAATCTACTCTTGGGAATAATTACAGATGAGGCAAACGTTACAGTTGACTTGTCTTAATATTTATCGAGGAGATGGGAAGTTCAATTTGGTGTCTTTAGTTGCAGTATAAATGAAATTATATGGATATACACAGCTTTGTGAATTAATTAAGCAAATTCAAGGTTTGCTTAAGATGAGGAAAATACTAGATAAAATAATTCATTTAACAGATTCAGATAATTTGCTGTTTTAATTATTTTAAAATTAATCTTAAGAGTCCATTTGTTTCTGTTAATAATCATAAAAACTGTGCATTTAAAAGGTAACAATGACATCTATTTGTACATTTAAAAGAGCAAGTTTCATAAAGGTAGTAACTCATAAATACACATGATTAAAATTAGAGGCTTTAATTTTGTAAACGTTGCACTGTGTTTTGTTGTGACCAGAATGATTGGATATTTTTCAGTTGTACACAGATCTTAAGTCCAAAGATGTTACAAGCCAGTTCAAAACGGCTGTTTCTAAACGTGAAAATCTACAGACTCTTGGTGGAATGTCGGAGGCCTCTAGTGAGGGGACTACACATTCAGTTCGGCATGAAGAACAAGTGGCCTTTTCTAACTGGATAAACAGGTTAGAAAGTCTTTTAACTTATTTTCTATAGAGGAGTATTATTGAAGAACTAAAAAAAAAAATTATAACCAGTGTATTCAGTAAAATTTTTGTCATTGTGATAATATTCTGAATATGAGGAAGTGGAAGAGAAACATTATAACTGAATAGGAATAAAAATTATAATTTTAAGGGAAAGTAGGGATTGCTGTTTATTTGTAGAATTGCTATAAGTATCAAAACAAAATTTAATGCTACAATAAAAAGTACACAAACAAGTAAAGTGATATTAGTTGGATAGATTTTAAAACTATTTTTAATTTTTAGACTGTTTCACTTAGCTATACTGATCACAATGCCAATCAAAGTAGGGACTGAAAATAGTTTTAAAATCTATCCAACTAATATCACTTGTTTGTGTACTTTATAATACAGCATTTGTTTTGTTTTAGATACTTCTTATAGCAATTCTACGAATAACCAACAATTCCTAATTTCCTTTAGAATTTTTTTTTTTCCTGTTTATTTGTTCAGTTTTTATATGTCCATGAAATGGACAAAACATCTATAAACTTTCAGTATAGATATAACTTTTACATGAATTAAAACACCAATCACAAATTTATAAAATGTAATCCTTACTTTGGCCTACAAATAAATGTATAAAGCTACCAAAGTAGGAATTAAATTTTATAAACTTGTCATTGTAGTTTTAATTCTTGTTTCATTACTTTTTGTAGCAGGATCCCTACTTCATTTTAAAATTCATAATTTTTTTAATACTATGTTATACCTGTATAAAGTATATACTTTACCTATAGAAACTGTTGTCTGTGCATTGATATGTAGCGCCACCTGTTGGGTTCAAAAGATATTTAAGTACATGCATGGTATGTTTACCATTTATTAAACAAAAATTGTATATATTTGGTGATGAGAAACCAACTTTTTAGAAAATAAAAGTTTTGAGACAGCTTGAGTGGGTAATTAAAAAATCTTTTATTATAAAGTTTGGAAGTGTCATACATTTATAATATTTTTTTGTTACCCAGTCAAGCTGTCTCAAAACTCTTATTCTGTATACGTTTATCGGAATATCAAAAATGGTTACCCACAGACCAGTCAAGTAAGCTGGAGAAATCTTGTAGCGATAGTCTGAGGCATCTAGGGGTTAGCCCCACTGACATGATCATGTAGGTAGGTAGTAGACAAAAAAAAATGCTGTTTTAGAAATTTTTGAACTGTTATACTGGAAATGTTAGTGACTTTTTTAGCATATTATTAGTATATATGCACATAATATATCATAACCAGTACTTTGAATGGTCAGTTTTTTGCTTGGGAATTTGATAAGGTGATTTTTTTCATCACATGAACTATTTGGAAACCCTGTTGACCCCCACTATAAAATGACATTTAAAATATAACATCTTCTTGTGTTCTTAGCATGATGTCCATGTAAGTGTAGTTTGTCATTACTAAAGAACAGATTGGTGAAAGTATTAATTTGATTTTTAATTAGTGATATGTCTAATAAACACGAAATGACAGAAAACAACTTTGTACTAAAATTATGTGAGAAGAGTTTTTAAAATTTATATATGTTGTATGTTGTTAACAATAATATGTAAAACTAAATAGCCCAGATTCCACATCTTAAATTTCTCATGGCTATTTTACTCTATATATTTGATATGACAATGGAGAATTTTCTGAGTTATAAATTTTAAGCAGCTTGTAATTCTAATATTAACTGTGCAACTTCTCAGTAACAAGTTGTTATAGTATTCTAGTTGTTTTTCTAACTGATGTCTGTATAAGATTGTACACTGCATAATGCGAGTTACATTGTAGCAACCTGGGGGCAGACCTGGATCTACAGTATTTACTGCCAATTGACACAGAAGGACGAATGTTATATGACAGGGTCAAAGATGGTGTCCTGTTATGGTAAGCCTAAACCCTTCTTTTTTTTTCCTGTAAACTTGCTGGGATATTACTTCTTGTGGCCCCTTTTTTTCTTTAACAGGAATGACAAACTTGTACTCTATTTATAGCAAAAGTTTATCAATATGTTCATTTAAGTAAAAGACTTGCATTTACTGTACATAAAAATTTGTGTGAATACTGGTTTAGCTTTTCTGTATTAAGTGAAAAGTAGTGAACATCAGAACATTGTGTGAAAACATGTACACCTTAGAATCAGATGATTGTCAAAACAGATCTCTTTTGAAGTCATGTAATGCCATGATAAGTTATCTTTGATCTGTCATTTTCGGATTAACCTTATCACGTACAGCATGAGCAATATCAAATGTGTTGAGAGGTTGCTGTTATGCAATTTAATCTTGTTAACTAAGTCTGCGATTTAAAACCATAATACTATACACAAACATGCACACATTTATAAGCAACGTGGAAGTTATTCGTACTATTTCAAGACCTGCTGTTGGAGAAAATACTTAACTGTGAAGTAATATTGGTTAAATATGTGTATTTATTTAGGTTTGAACAACCATGTATTAAATAGACTGTACATGTAAACTGACATCTGTAAATGACCACATTACTTGTTTATGTGTGATTTGTGTGTGTCTCTCTCTCTCTTTTTAACCATATCTTAAAATATAGTATTCTTAATTAGGCAGAATTATAAGGAAAAATTAACCTGTGCATGTGTGTTTTGTCAGAGAAATTTTGGGAAGAACGTGGCCATCCTATTAGTAAAATACATAGGGTATATGTTATTACACCTACTTTGTACATGCAGGAGACAGTTCTTAATGCTTTTTTTTTCAAATAATTTTTTGACTAAAGTAGCTTTATTTGACATATTTTTTGTTCGTTTTTTGCTAGTAGCTTGAACTGAATTCTTATTAACTTTTCCTCATTCAGTCAACATTGAAAAACAGTTTAAAATATTTCATGAAAGTTGTGTGCTTGTCTATCTATAAATAAAGGTGTGTACATATGTTAATATATTATAATAAACAATTTGTGTGTGTGTGTTTCCAATTATTTCTTTGGTTTGTAACTTTGGTATACAAATTATTTTTTAAATTTCTGTACACAGTTGTTATCAAGTTCTTAAACTTTTACAGCAAGGTTATAAATCACTCTTGTCCTGAAACAATTGATGAAAGAGCCATAAATAAAAAGAACCTCACTGTTTACACAAAACATGAGAACCTGACCTTGGCTCTGAACTCTGCCCAAGCCATTGGGTGTAACATCATCAATATTGATGCTCATGACCTTGCTAAAGGCAAACCCCACCTGGTGTTGGGACTCTTGTGGCAGATAATTCGGGTAAGCTGATTATAAAATATCAGTGAAGTATTTGTAAATTTTTTTTCCAATTGGAATGTGTAGATATTGTTTGATTTAATTATGAACTTTTTGAATGTAAATGGCAGGAAGTTATCTAATCTTAATCATCCAACTTCACAGAAAATGGGTGGGTTTAGGAATGTGACAATTGACTTAATCTTTTATGTAACAGAATACAGGAGCTGATATCTGTTTATTATAGTGTTAGCACTTCATCAATTTACTTATACAAGAATAAAATGTGACACTATTTTAACCATGTATAAATGTATTTGACACAAATTAACTGCATGCTGTTAATTGCAAGAATAAAAATAGTTATTATATTCAGTATATTTGGCTTATTAAAAAAATATTTGTGCTTCTCTTCTAGTTTTTTGTATTCAAGCCATTAAAATGTTTTAAGGTAATTGTAACCTAGCTAAAATATTTGGCGTTCTATATTTACATATTTAATATGCCGGGGGGTAGGGGATAAACATTAATTAGTGACATAACATGTAGTGTTAGAAACTGAATATATATCCTTTGTAGCAGTAAGAACTCTTTCAATATATATTTTTTATATTTTTTTTAGGAAACTAATGTAGTGTGTAAATATATTGGAGACTTGTTTTAATGGAGATTCATAAATTATTTCTGATAATAGTACAAATAATGTAATGTACTATTTGTTTCTTGTAAGCAGCTCAATTATATCTAAATGACTTTTGATGATACTTAAGCTTTACAAGACTAATTAGTTTGTCAGGTATGTCATGAAATTTAAAATTTTGTACTGATTTTAGTATTAAGAAAATCGACTTGTTTTACCCTGACAAAATAACTTTTCCAGGTCTTTGCTAGAAAACTGAAAATTGTGGGAAAACATTAGGAACTGATTTTTTGTCCTGCTTTTATTTTTCAGATTGGTCTATTTAATCAGATTACTCTAGAGCATTGCCCTGGACTAGTACAATTACTCTTCCCTGGTGAGGAAATGGCTGACCTTCTCAAGCTGTCGCCAGAAAATATTCTCATCCGATGGGTGAACTATCATCTAGAGAGGGCAGGTGTAAATAGAAGGCTTACAAATTTTACATCCGATGTGAAGGTAGGTGCGATCAGTTTAGAACATCGTATCCCCTTTATTTATTAATGATGATTCAGATGATCAATTTTAAGTACACGATACAGTAAACTTTATTGTGATATCACTTCAAGTTATTACAAAGTGGAAGAAAAAAAAATTATTAATCTGAGGTTGAAAATTACCATCATGAGGTGTACAAAGCTTTGCAGAAATATTTTGGTAATAATTAGTATATTTAAAAAAAAAGCAATGTAAAGTAGTATAATCCTTTGTTTGAAGTGCTGGATTTTAATTTTTTTTTTTTTTTAGTTATTAGGTTGGATTTTACCAGACACTTTAATCCCTCTCATATTTGTCTTCGAGTTTTTTCAGTTAGGTCCACTGACAGCACCTTAACTCTGCACAACACAAAAATATTGTAATTAGAACCATTAACAACTTAATATTAATAGTAGTGATCTATTAAAACTTCTCATTCTGAAAATATCCAAATTATTCTGTTGAAAGTTTCATCTACTTCAAGACTTCTGGAAGGTGTTAATTAAATCACTTTTCTGTATGTGAAATTTTATGTTAGTGTAAAATGTCCTTTCTGGTTTTTCTAATCTTGCATTGTGACAAAATCAATACTAGTACATTTTTCCTAAAGAAAAAAAAATTGTTTCTGTTGCATCTGAATTTATTTCTCTTATCAGGATTCGGAGATCTATACACATCTTTTATACCAAATATCTCCTTATGAAGCTGGAGTTACAATGGAAGCTCTTCAAGTAAGTTTTGGTTAATGTTCTGACAACTTTACTTACACATGAAAATGTTTTTGTGGCATTGAGGTAAAAATGTGGCCTGTTGGTTAACAGAAGGAGCTGCGGAGAATAATGGAGGGAAAATTTGAACTGTGTGACAAAGAAATATTTGTAGTTGTAGGTTATACTGTTGTTCTGGAGAAGATATTTTGAAAGTCTAGAGTTGATATTTTAGTTAGTTTAGTTGTAATCTGTAAACTTTTAGGTTTTATTACAAGAGGTAAAGATAAGTAAAGTTACAATATTAGGCTTAATACTAGATTGTGGGGCTTTATTATTATTATTATTATAAGTAACTACTACCATTAGCACTGGGTTAGATGGTAAAACTATTAAATATTAGATTGAAATTGTTTTCACTAGAATTAGCTATGTAAAGAGAATTTATTTAACTTAATAGGAATAGTAATTTAATCGTTCCCATTTTGATAGCAGCTGAGAATTTAGTACAATAGTGAATTGTTTAAATTAGCATTTAGTTATATGTAACTCAACATATTGAATATAATAACTACAGTACTGACATTGGTACATAATGGTACAAGCACTGATTAACAGAGGATTTTGTTACATTTATCTACAGTCTAATCTACAGTTTGGCTGAGCAAGTGTAACACACTTTTAGCTGTAACTTAAGCTTATTCAGTTATTGGTAAGTTATAAAACAGGATGAATAGATTTTATTATGTAAGTGTAATCTAAAGACCAGTTATTTGTCACTTCATTTTGAAGATAAATTTAATTACTTTAGCGAGAATATAAGGTATAGTGATAACAGTGTAATATATCTAACTCTTCACGTTAGGCTTAAGAGTGAAGATAGGTAGTGATAACATAGTGTAATATACTTGGCTTAAGAGTTGTCAGTATGCTACTTGGATTTGGTAGTGATTATTTATTCTCAGGATACAATGGTTAAGAGTAGTGTAAGTGTTAACAATCTAAGGTGCAACAGGTGCAAGTAGTGAGGTTTTTATTTGTGAAGTAGAGTTTGTAGGTTAAAGTAGAAACTGAAGGCTGTTCTAAATAGGATAAGCAGCAGGAAATGGCAGCAGGATTTAGAGAGCAAATTGAGCTTTGCATCGAAATGATATAATCAGTGTTCCCTCTAAGTTGCATTGCTGCACAACACCCATCCAAATTACCTTTGCCTAAATAACCAACTGGTAGCATTGCAAGGTTGTCTAATGATTCAGTTGGTTTGGTCTAACCCATACTGGTGCACATGGAAAAAATTCATTTCGCACAAGGATTGAAAAAATATGAGGGGAACGTTGGATACAATAACTATAATGTGCAGTGACATATTTCAGCCTTTAGCTTGTCCAAATGATGAACTAGAGGAAGGAAGGGAAAGAGAGGGATACGGATTAAATACATGAGGTTATTGTTATAGGAGATTCTTTAGTACAGCATAGTATGTGGGGGTAAATAGGGAGAAAAGAATTAGATTATGCCATCCAGTAACAGAGGATATAACAGACAGAGCAAGTGATTTAGTAAAGGGTGCTAGTAGTGATGCAGTCTTTGTAGTGCACATATGGGCTAATGATGTAGGGAATGGTAGGTTAGAGAAGCTTATTGCTTAGTACGAGGCATTATAAAAGGATTCAAATAAAAGGGCCGGAACTTAATTCTCTGTGGGATACTGCCAAGGTGTGGGGATGAAATTATAAGTATGTCACTGGGGCTGAATGCTAGGCTTAGGTTTATATGCATGGATCAGCAAGATGGATTTGTAGGAACATTTCAGTGGGAAGAAGGAGCTCTTTGGAATGGTTAATTTATATGTAAATAGGGTGTGGAGGGCTGACTTGTTTGCAATGGCTATTAACTCAACTGTAAGGGCAACTTATAAACTAGGATTAGATCGTGGAGAGGGCTAGGATAATGAAGAAAAAAATAAGCTGTAGAGAGGTATGTAGTGTAGAAACATTGTACAAAGGTAGTTTTAATGGTAGGTTAAAGTTATTATTGTAATGCTAGAAGTATCAGAAATAAAATAAATGACCTTAGATTGCTGGTTGGAACAGAGGATTCTGATATAATGACAATTGCTAAATGCAGATAATGTTGATGAGAGGAATATTTACAGTGTTATATATAGGTTGTTGAAAGGTATAGAGTACTAAAATGTAAGTTACAACCTGTTTGTGTTTAGGATATCAAAACTAACAGCAATGAGGTTGAATCTGTTTAGGTTTCTGTTAGTGGTTATAAGAGAAGGCATTTAGTTGGAATTTATTACAGACCACCAGATGAAACTGGTGAAATTAATTAGAATAATTAATAATTATAATTATAAACTTAATTAATTAGAAATTAATTAGTGAGATAAATTCAACTGGTAACAAGGTTATAATTATTTGAGAACCTGTTCAGGATGGTTTCTCACCAATTGAGTAATGCTTTGAGTGTATAATTAAATTTCAGGTGGGTTTTCGAAGTGTCAACGATCTACTATAAATGAAATTTAGAAATTGACTTTTTTTTTTTGTCACTTTTTCAATATCAAAATCCACTAGTTGTGCTTTTGCTCATGATGCCTAAGGCGGGAATTTCAAGGACGTGTGAATATATCAATTGTCACACTATGAGGTAAAGTTTTTGTGACACTGTGAGATAAGCCTTGATTATAGCATCGAAAGGGTTAAGGTACCCACTAGGAACAATTCTATTTTAGATTTATTGTTAACTTCTAATAAAGAAATAGTTCATAGGGTGGAGATGGGGAAACATTTGGGTGCAAGTGATCATTGCACTATTAGGTTTGATGTTTTGTTGCATATGGAGATCAGGAATAGTGAGATTTTGGTTCTAGATTTCAAAAAAGCAAATTTTAAAGAGATGAAACAAGAATTATCTGCTATGAATTGGGCAACTGATCAAATGTGGAGACAGTTTAAGAATAACCTTAAATATTCAGAATAGGCATGTTTCTTACAGAAAAAAAAGGTGGCTGCAAGTAAAAAAAACAGTTTGGCTCACAATAGGTATAAAGAATAAAATTAAAAATATAAAAGTTTAAATTCATTACAATGATCAGAGACTTGGAGGATTATAGAAGAAAAGAGTTGGTCAAATGGGAAATAAGAAAAAAACAAAGATGTAAAAATTAAAAGTAAGGATTTCTTTAAATACATTAGGGGTAAGCAGAATTTTAGGATCGGATGGTTGAATTATTAAATTCTACTTTTTCTTCAATCAGTGTCTTGGAAAACCTGTTTTTTATTGGTTTTTTTTCCTTAAATTTTATTTTATTTTCTTTTTTTTTAGGAACCAAATCTGGTGAGCCGGGCAGAAATCATGCTGCAGCAAGCTGATAAGATAGGTTGTCGTAGTTTTCTCTCTCCCAATGATGTTGTTGAAGGTGTTTACAAATTAAATGTGGCCTTTGTTGCTAACTTGTTTAACAATCATCCAGCACTCGACAAACCAGAATTGCCTTTAGAATTGGAGAATTTGGAAGAAACTAGGGAAGAAAAAAGTAATCCTCTTCTAAGACTTTTTATAATTACTTTTAGATAAAGACTTGTAAGCCTTGAATATATCAGTATATTCAACATACAGGTAAGTATGGATATCATAGCACTTTCAAAACTACTGCCAAATTTTGGTTTGCAGCAAGAAATGTATCCCATTCTTCAGTTTTAATTTATACAAATATATATGTATAAAGAAGCTGGTACAACATGATGATATTATGTATTAACTGCTACCAGAAGAGTTATTAAAATTTTTCAATAATAATTACAATTAATAATAAATAATCTTATAAATTACGGGCAAACCACGAAGCTTTTATGACCACTCTGCCCAAGTTCATCAGTTGGGTACCCTCACTGTTAGCACTGTTTTTGGCCCTTAACCCTGGAATTCTAACAGGGTTGGTGTTGGATATACAAGACTGTTTAGTTGAGTTATTATTTAGTTATTTAATGATGATTTAGTTTCATAATAAGAGTATTAAAAGTTAATTATTTTAAAAGCAATAATTATGACAATTTCATATAACTGTGTAAGTTGTACATTGTGTATGTAGTTTAATTGCTGTACTAAGCTTTTGTAATATTGTTGACGTCATCTTACTTGAAACTTCTAAATTTTTCTCATTATGCTTAGTATTATTGTTACTAGCTTATTGTTACTATATTTTTTCTGTTGCGTGTTATAAGTATGTGCAGATACAGAAAGTAAAGTTAGACAGAAAGATCATCAGTTTAGACATAACGGGTGATTTCTGATGTGAATTTATTACTGATGGTATTATGATAACAGAAGACAGACGAAATAATTTGTCTTGTCCAGCCTGTTTGGACTTTGACAAAAACAGACAATTATTTAAAGCTATGGATACAACTGTGATAACCAATAGTGTAACAAATTCGTGTACATACATTTGACTTATTTTAAATATATTATTGTTGAAATTCATCATCAAGAAGTCGGACACCTGCTGTAAAAATATTGCAGCTCTATAAAAACGTGACAGTTGAGCTTTGCTTAGTGAAATTACCCAACAGCAAAGCAGAATTGTCGCATCTAAAGTTTCATGTGATTTATTTATTTGAAAATTACTGTCCCTTTGCTTATGAATCTGAACACAATATATATAAAGTAACTTTATTATTTTATTTATAATCATCATGTAACTCATGACTGACTTTTTGTTTTTAAATCTTGAATATGTTATCTCTAAACAATTTTTCACATTTTTTTTGTTTAAAAAAAATCAAAGGACATGTACTTTGTAACTTCATAGCTGACAGTTAAGTTTATACATTTTTAGTTAATTATTTTTTCTCTTTCAGCATATCGCAACTGGATGAATAGCATGGGTGTCAACCCACACGTGAACTGGCTCTACAGTGACTTAGCTGATGGGCTAGTTATATTTCAGGTATGTTAGTGATTTCATTTGCATCAGAGTGATGTTTTTAGATTATTTCACAATTTGTTTGTTCCACCACAGGTAAAGTATATGTTAAAAAATCTCTTCACCACCATAGGTAAAGTATAGATAAAAAAAAAATTATTCAACTTGTACAAATCTTTATTTTATTGCTATATTTCTAAATAAGTCTGATAAAAAAAAGATTTATATACTTTAAACAGCATTCTCTTACTATACTGAACTTGTAAATTAGGGAACCATTTCATTATCTATCTATCTATCTACAGTCATCCCTCCCTGGATGTAGCTCTCCATCAGACCAGTCCAGTATTTCCTATTGTTAGCATACTGTGTCCATCTGATTCCTGATTCTGCTACTATATCATCCCTTCATCTTCTCTATTGCCTTCCCTTAGATCTTTTCCCTGTCCTAGGTTGCTATTCCATTGTTCTTAATGCCACCTATTATCAGAATATGAAGTATTTTTCTTTACATAGGCCTTTGTGTGGTTTCTATCTTTTCCTTATCTATTTTGTTAGTGCCCATGTTTGGCAACCATATGTTAAAGTTGGTAGTACACACTGATCCATGATCGTTTTCTTCAAAGTAATGGGGATATTTTAATCCATTATAATTATTTATTTATATATTCCACAACATTGCCATGTTGCCTTCAAGTAATTTTTCAAGGTCATCATTGTATGTTAAAGTTCTTACATTGTAAGTACAAATATGTATAGTAGACTTGCAAGTTCCTTTATCGGTCTGTGACCTTACCATTGGATTCAGACCAGAAACATCTTGAAGAGGAACCAGCTTTCTTCCATTTGAAGAATTCTCCATCTGACCTTGAGCACTATGGCCTCTGTTTGCTTTACTTTCCATGCTCTAATGGGATTTTGGCCCTTCACTAACATGCTGGCTGCACGTGTTGTTAGTGGGTATTTTTATAGTGACACAGTCACTCGCAGTATTTCATTAACTGAAATAGTTACTGCCAGCCATTTTGGCCAGCAACTAACAACATTTCATTATAGCCAAGGCTAAAATTAATTTTTAGATAATTTTGAATCTCTAACTTGTAAATTTAAATTTTACTAACAGATGAACCCATGTAATTCATAGTGACAGGTTTTTGCTATAAACTTTTATTGTTATTGTTACTTCACGTGATGAGGTTTTTAATCTTATTAATGCCTCCATGGTTACTGTTTGTAAATGTACTGCCTATCCCTCCTAGTAACTCCATCTTTCTGCAAAACCACCTCATGCATTGGTAACCACAATCTTTGGTAACTGTTGAAAATATTGTATAATTTTTATTTTATTTCTACACCTTATTTTTAGTATATAGTATTTTGTCATAACATTATTGAATTTATATTAAATGTGTTTAAAACAGATTTCCTACATTCTTAAGTGTTTTTTATTATGTCTTGGGGCTGAAATTGTTTTTCTGTAAGAACATATTGTCAGAAACTATTTTTAGTAGTAGTAGTAGTATATATATATATATATATAGCATTGTAAATATATGGGTGTGTTGGGCTTAAGGATTCTTCTACAGTAGGTGTCTGCGACTTGTTGGCAATAAATTCGAAAATAAATGAACATCATGCACTCCACACACATATATTAAACACTATATAGTTCTCTTCGTGTCAAAAGTCCACTTAGGCCAATTCAGTTGACAATTTTTCTCTATTTTCATTGCAATAGTATCTGTATAATTCACTTATGCTGTCGTGTGACTTGTATCCTGAACTTCCAATAATCGTCTGCTTTCCGTCAAAGTCCACACAGGCAGCTTCAGTTAGTTTAGAACACCCTTGAACAAGACAAGTTATTCCTTTTATCACTTTCAAACTGCTAATCTCACTATAACATATCAGCTGTTAGGCCATTCAGTCTCATGACTGTTAACTTTGTTTTCTAACTTTTCTGTGACCGAACTTCTCTTTCACGTGACTTTACTTTTACTCTGTTTCTGCTCGTCTGGATGCAGCTATTTATATGTCTATCACTTGGGCCTTTAGAAATTTCCATAGCCTCAACATCAATGAATTATAAACACAAAATAAATAAATTAATAATACTACCTAAATTAAAGTCTTTTATTTATATCTGACACATCTAATTATGTAATGGGAGTATATGGGTTTTGCGATATGGACAAGTCTTCAAGAATTCATCTATTCCATACATGGAGAGGTGTGTATACAATAAATATATATGTTGATAGCAAAGTAATATGTAAACAAAAGCTAGCCATCAGTATCTTTTTTTAGTAGATATTTTTAAAAAACTAAGAGTTTTGGATCAATAAAAACTCACATTTTGCATGTTTCCGGAAGAAACAATAACACACAATTATGAAACTTAACTTTTTTAAAAATAAAGGTCTATATAGAACTTTCACACATTTGTTAGTTTTTCATGATATTTTGCTTTTAAGAACAGACTTATTGTTCTTTACTTCTTTTGTATGCAGTGTTCTCTCTCTCTTTCCACACACACACACACACACAGAACAGAGAGAGAGAAGTTCTTTTAGAACTTGTTTGTATAGCAGTTGCAAATATATTCCTTAAACTGATTTAAACAAGTCTAACGACTCAAGAGAAACACATTTGGTTTGTTAATGATCATTTTATATATCTTGTGAGTATAGTTGAAGTTATTGATATTCAATCATTGTATTATCATTTACAATGCTAGAGCAACAGCAGTATCCTTATGCTACTATATATACGCTTTCAACATTTCTGATCTTATCTTGATTGAAAAAGTTTAAAAATAATTGCTCAAATTTTGTAATGTTTTGTACTTTTTAGTTGTTTGACATCATTAAACCTGGTGTAGTAAGTTGGAATAAAGTGCACAGGATGTTCAGTAAATTGAAAGCATTCATGGAGAAACTTGAAAATTGTAACTATGCTGTTAATCTTGGTAAACAGCTTAAGTTTTCCCTTGTTGGGATTGATGGAAATGATATTTCTGAAGGAAACCCAACCCTAACACTTGGTAGGTGCTCTTTCTGTTGTTCTGAATATTATTATTCCAATACTTATGTTTTGCCACTATTGTGTATACTCTGGGAAGATGTAATAATTATCTAACTACTTTTTGTCTGTTAATTTGAATGTTTATTTAGACTTTGGATCATGTAATGTATATAAATAATGCATCAAATACATTTTATTCTTTTTTTTTTAAAGAATTAGTGTGATATGTTTTAGCATTTTTTTTCTTCTCTGTTTGCTTTTGTTAATTTTATAATTGACTGAGGTTACTTTTGTAAAATCATGATGTTTTTATGATACTAAAATTAAGATAGCAACAACTTTAACATAGGCTAGTAGTTAGCAAACTGTTTGATACATTTCAGTTTTGGGATTATATTGTTTTCAATATGCTTTAAAACCTTATCAGAATTCGTCAAACCTCGGATCAAATGTAGTGTCTTAGCTTTGTAGTCATTGCATAAACTTTTAGTATTTAGGAAATGAAGGTAGTAACAAATAATAGCCACCTATACCAATGATGGTAAAACACTTTACTGTCCATGCTATTCTATGTAAAATTTGTTTTGTGCCTTACGATCACAGCAAAAATAAAATGGTGTAAGACTATGATTAAATTATTTTATGTTTCTAATTTATTTTTTTATGCATAATTCAAATTTGACCAAAATAAGTTATTCTTTCCTTCCTTCCAGCTCTTGTGTGGCAGTTAATGAGGGCCTATACTTTGAGTATACTGACTCAGCTGGCTGGGACAGGCAATCCAATTGTGGAAACTCAGATTGTGGAGTGGGTAAACATGAAGGTAAAAGTAATTTCTTTGTAAGCACCTTTAACCATACAAGTATGTTGCTTCATTGTTCTATTCCACTATTTGAATTAGTTTCTCCACTTTGTTTTTATCTGATTTGCTAATAAATTAAAGTACATATATTATTAATTTCTCAATGAGGAAATTTTTTTATACTTTCCATATTAAAGATTTGCAATACTAAAATTTTTATGTAGATGGTAAACCATTGTGTATGTGTAAAATAGCTAATTTTTAAATACTCTCCAAGCTTGGAGTAATTCCATTTTAATCTTAATGAGGAGTGAAATAAAAAGACATTGATAAACACTTTCAATTCACCCCTTATACTCTTAAGTTTTAAAACAGAATTTTTACATAACAGTACCTGAAGGATCAGGATGTAACACAATGTTCACACAGAAATATATATTATCACTCAAGCCTTAATATGTTTTTTAACCAATGTTTGATCAAGATGGATAATAAACACCAAGTGGTACAGTAGTATCTTCACTGTTGTTATCAAGGTGACTATAAACCTTTTGTTTTTAATTTCTAATTGAAGTAATCATTTCATTATCGATTACAGCTTAGTTGTGTTTTGGATAAGTGTAATTGAAACCCAGACATTCTGTAAAATGTGGTTATTTGTTTTAATTTTATAGTTACAAGATGCTGGTAAATCCACTAGTATCAGGAGCTTTCAGGACTCTGCAATTTCTAATGCTATACCCGTCATTGATCTTATTGACGCCATTCAACCAGGCTCAATCAATTATGGTATGGTCTTGCCTGGTAGTGATGATGATGTAAGTGATAATTTACTTGAAACATAAGTATTTCTGTCTTTGTATCTTTCCTTTCAAGGAAAATGTTCAGTGTTCATAAATACATTAAAGATGTATTTTGTTTCTTTTGTAACTTGTCGTACAGGTCGCCATCAAGTCTAATTTTGGAATATATTGTTATAACAGCGGGGGGTCACGTGACGCTAGTAGCACGTCATATTCTCGAACGTTTGCGTCCCTTCCTGAAGCCTCGAGAGGTTACTAGATATGCGGTATTCTTATATATATAAGACCGGTAAGAAGTGACGGGAACAATGTAATGTGTAATTGAATAGCAGATGGAGATAGATAGGAACAGTTGAGTCAAGCGCGTGAGTCGTTCGTTGCGAATTATAGCGTGGCTGTGGAAATTAAGTGTATTGCGAAGTTGTATTCAGAAAGAATAAACCAATTTTATTTAAGAAAGGACTTGTATCGCCAAAGTTTCTTCGGAAGAAATTTTTACGGAAAATTAACTAACGAACGGAGACGTAACAATATAAATCTTCATTTATTCACATAAAATCTAAAAATGTATTAACCTTTGTGTGTTAGTGATCTTTTTACTTAATGCATTGAAATTTATTGTAACAAAGTGTAGGTTATGAAAGTTTTAAAGTGGTTACAATTTGTTTCTTGTAAGTATTGTATATTAACCCTTTAGAGATTGGTGAAAGGTCATGTCATCTCGTTTGACTCACATTAAAAATTCTATTGAAGTACTATTTCATGAATTTATGTCTAACTTTGATATCAAACTGTAGATTATAATTCAAATTTTAGTACTATATATTACTCAATTTAAAACCAAATATCAAAAAACACAGATAAACGTCGATTTTTTTTTTGTGTCACATGATAT